ACATATTCCTTTCAGGAAGGATGCTATCATTCGCTAATTTCCTGATCTCGCAAATGTCATTGAAATGTGAAAATGAGAACATTGTTAAAGCTTGCTCGAATAATAGCGAGAAAGAAAGATAGTTTTGGTTTATCGAATAATTCTCTTCAAGAAAAAAGAGATGACATTTTTGCTTTAATAAAAGAAAGAAGAGAGAAAATTTTTTTTTATTAATAATAGCGAAAAAGAAAAATGTATGAAGACAAAAACATTTTTTAATTGAAATTTTTATTTAAGTTTTCAACTCTTTTTTTTCAAATTATTTTCTCTTTATTTGAAATGAATTGAGATTAAAATTTTTTTGTCAATTGAAATTTAAAACTCTTTTTTCTTTTTTGTTTCTTTTATATAAAAAAAATCTATCTATCTGTCTATCTATCTATTTCAGCCTCAGATCTATTATATATATATATATATATATATATATATATATATATATATATATATATATATATATATATATATATATATATATACACTGCGTGCCAAATTATTATCAAGATAACTTTTTTCTAATATTTCAAAAACCGTCCAATCAATTCACACACAATTTTCACACAATGTTGGTAACACTGACCTGCGCAATCACTGAAATTTTCGTACTGATCTGCGCAATGTAAACAAATTGGCGCCATATTTGTTATCAGCACGGTGATTTGAGCGTGCCAAATTATTAGAAAAGTATAAGAATTTAGTGAAAAGATGGGCCGTAAAAGCAGTTTAAGTGATGCTGAAAATGAAAACTATCACCTCAGAACTCTCAAAAAGGTAAATCTACCCTAGAAATTTCTAAAATGATAGGGAAGTGTCATCAAACAGTGAAAAAGTTCACTGCCAACCCTACACAAGTACGCAAAAGGGCAGATAAAGGCAAGCTGAGGGTTATTTCACGTTGTCTCATGTCACGACTTAAACGAGCGGCCACGAAGAACCATGGACTTACCAGTCAAGAATTTTCAGTCGCATTGGGGATCCTACTGTGTCTAAAAGTACTCGGTGTCGGTATCTGAGGGAAATAGCAACAACAGTCAAACCTGTATCGAAGTTCCGTTGACGAGAAATCACATTCAAAATCGATTGAAATGGGCCGAGGACAATATAAAGATTGACTTCTCTAAAGTTTTGTCACAGACAAAACTCAAGCAACACTTTGATGGGCCAGATAGATGGTGCAAAGGCTGGGTAAAACGGACAGAATCGCCATCAGCGTTTGAGACGCCAACAAGGCGGTGGAGGCATAATGATCTGGGGTGGTATTATTGGAAAAATATTTAGTGGGCCCATGGAGAGTACCAGATGGCGTCAAAATGACTGCTGATGCATACATTTGCGTTTATGAAGGAGCATCTTGAACCGTGGATGAAAAGGCAAAGAGTTGCCTTCAGAAGGGCTATTGTTTTTATGCAAGATAATGCTCCCTCACATGCTGCTCATTTCACTACTGAATATTTGAAACAGTTAGGCTTCGATGGACCTCGAAAAATGAAGTGGCCAGCAAATTCTCCGGATTTGAACCCAATCGAAAACCTTTGGAGCATCATGAAGCAAAGACTGTACGCCAACGGACGACAGTTCAGGAGTTGTGGGAAGCAATTCTTGACATATCTCGCAGCATTACAGCAGATGACATCCTACAATTAACAAATTCTATGGATCGTCGACTTTAAGTAATTTCAAAACAGTGAAAACTCATTCCATATTAATTTGTTTAAAACTGTGCCTTTGTTTGTATCTGTTATTATTTGTCTGATTATCTTATTTATTAGCTTCTTTTGATCATAAACATTCATGTTTTTCATTAATAAACGTTTTGTTTGCTCAATTCTTCATTTTAATAAACCTTTCTAATAATTTGGCACGCTCAAATCACCGTGCTGATAACAAATATGGCGCCAGTTTGTTTACATTGCGCAGATCAGTACGAAAATTTCAGTGATTGTGCAGGTCAGTGTTGCCAACATTGTGTGAAAATTTTGTGTGAATTGATTGTACGGTTTTTGAAATATTAGAAAAAAAGTTATCTCGATAATAAATTGGCACGCAGTATATATATATATATATATATATATATATATATATATATAATTATTGATATTATTCTTTATATATATATATATATATATATATATATATATATATATTTACAGTGGCGATAAATATTTTTGTTTTAAAATTTATCCTAAAAACTAAAATCAGGGTGACACAATGTCATTCCCAACAAAAAATTTTTTTTACCAGGCTAAGGTGCCAAAAATAGTCTGAAAACAGTGGTGGAAACACGGGTTTCGTAGACGGGCATATTCCCCCATTTGATAATTTATGACCCCCAAGTTTAAAGGTCAGAAAAAATTATATAGAACATTTTTTTGTCAAGAAAAATATTTTCAAACATCATTGATAATTAAATGGTACCCAGAAAATAATGCAACGGAAAATTGGACACCGGAAAATTAGCAACAGAAAATTACGTCAACCATGAGCCAGTCTAAACTGTCAGATCTGGCTGTGCTGTTCCATTGAAAACGAGCTTACAAGACAAACCGATTTTGATGATGTCATTGACCAGTTTGCCACAATGAAAACAAGAAAACATTCATTTTAAGACCATAGTATCGAATGTCATTCTTTTGTGTATTGCCGTGTTTTGTATTTAGTTGTTCTGAAAGTGAACAGTTGCATTTTAAAAATCTTTTGATTTGCACTGATTATTTTGTGGTATTGGATTTTGTCTTGGATCATACATGTAAACAGTAACGTACCGATCAGTAGAGTAAAGTAGAGGTAGAGCATGTATGAAAATTTAGCTACAAATATTGTATTCAGCATAGGGTGAATCAGGGTCATTGGGGTGACATTTGAGCGGACCAAAGGGTGATGTTTACTCTAGCTACGCCACTGTATATATATATATATATATATATATATATATATATATATATATATATATATAAGGGGTCTGACAATAAGAAAAATACTGTACTGTCTTGTTCATTTTGTATTTTCTACAGATAGATTCTGAGAACTTTCACATGTCTATCTATTTATTTCAGTCTGTTCAGATTTATCTACCTATAGAAATATATTCAGGGGTATGTCTTAATGAAATTTGTGGGTTGGTCATCGTGAGATCATGGTTAGTTTGGTTGACCATTACTACTCAGTAATGAGTTCGATCCTCACTGTGTGTCATATACAAAATTCAGCATTAATGTTTTAAAATCAACTAACTTAACCGAATGAAGTTATATGACGAGACTGAGTGATGTGGAAATGCGATGTCGGCTAAATAATGTGGTTGAAGAAACATCATATGATCTGAGGAGGCATAGTTCAATGAAAGTGATTGTGACTTGGAGGAAACTTTTCCTTCCTTGATTTTTAAATGGAGTAAAATAGGTATAATGTATTGAGCATCAGTGACATTCTCCCAAGGTAACATATCTCCTATTGCTCTCAAAGTGATGACACTTAAGGTGATCTGAAGGGCTGAGAAAAATAAGTATATTATGTTACTAATCGTATGTATTCACAGGGTTCTCCGTTTAAACCCGACCTTGTGCTATATTCCGAGTGTGTTTTCGGAAAAAATACTCTCTTAGCCTAAAACAAATTACGTGAACAGTAGGAGGAGAGTAGTGTTGAGAAGTTGATAAGAGAAAAAAAAACGTATCAAGCAGAATACTGTGCGAAACAGACGTAACTCGCAGTGCAGTCCAATAGGGAAAAGTTGCCAAACAAGTATCCCTTCCATGCGGTTGGACAATAAAAGTGTACACAAACTGGACCCTTTGTTTAAAATCTCATTTCCCCCGACTCCAATCGATTATCTATTTTCCATAGTGTAGACTCCAGATAAAGAAGAAAGAATTGTTAAGGGTTTCTGAATTCCTACCAACGGCCATTAAAAAAAGATAAAAAAAGACCAGGATAGGAAGAGCTTAAGATGTTACATCTGGTAATACAGATGGTATTGAAGAAATGATGCGATTACATAACGTTATCTATCTATCTATCTATCTATCTATCTATCTATCTATCTATCTATCTTAGTATATTCCTTATCTATCTGTCTATTTCAGCTTATTCATATCTCTCTCTCGATCTATCTATCTATCTATCTATCTATCTATCTATCTATCTCAGTTTATTTATTATCTATCGTAGTCTATTCATTATCTGTTTCAGTCTATTCATCTCTCTCTCTCTCTCTCTCTCTCTCTATCTATCTCATTTTATTCATTATCTATGTATTTCAGTATATTCATACCTATCTATCTATCTATCTATCTATCTCATTTTATTGATTATCTATCTATCTATCTATCTATCTATCTATCTATCTATCTATCTCATTTTATTCATTATCTATCTATCTATCTATCTCATTTTATTCATTATCTATCTATCTATCTATCTATCTATCTATCTATCTAAGTCTATTCATTATCTATGTATTTCAGTATATTCATATCTATCTATCTATGTATCTATCTATCTATCTATCTCATTTTATTCATTATCTATGTATCTATCTATCTATTTATCTATCTATCTATCTATCTCATTTTATTCATTATCTATCTATCTATCTATCTCATTTTATTCATTATCTATCTATCTATCTATCTATCTATCTATCTAAGTCTGTTAATTATCTATCTATCTATCTATCTATCTATCTATCTCATTCTATTCATATTCATATCTATCTATCTATCTATCTATCTATCTATCTATCTCATTTTATTCATTACGTTATCTATCTATCTATCTATCTATCTATCTATCTGATTCTGTTACATTTTAACATCCTATATCATTTTGTGTCTTTCAAATATAATTGACTACTGTTTGTTTTTCACTCTCTGTGTTTATAAAAATATCACTTTTCTCAGTTTATTTTAATCGTCTTCTTCAATAATATTTTTCTTTTTTTTTAATCTCTATTTCTTCTTAAGTCTTATGGCCATATCACGTTACAACACCGGTTCCTGTATGATCATTGAAGTTAAGTAACGCCGAGCCTGGTCAGTACTTAGATGGGTGACCGCTTGTTGATATCAGATGCTATAAATTTGTATATGCGGGTGGTGTAATCGATAGTGGCACGGAATTATAATCAGAACGGCCGAGTTTCAATTCCAGTTGGGTTCGTTATATTCACTTACCCTTGGGAAAGGTATGAATCCACCTATTCTCCCCTAAGCTATGGGTTAATTAGTAAGACTTTAATCACTGAACCAATATTATCTCCCCCACCCTAATTCTTATAATCTAAAAGTATTCTTTGACTTTAAATAGCCTGCAAAATGTTGTTAAGCCGTATAAAACAAAGTAATCTAGTCCTGGTAGTTATATCCGGCAGCAAGGTCTCTGTTCGGAAGATTGGAGATTTTGTGGCGCGTGGAACCACTTCTTAATTGCTGTTGTCCCCAGGTTCACACTGGTTCGGGTGGTAACAACTGTTCGGGTCACAGTTATAGGCAATGAATGAACCCAAAAACAGAAGCAAAATGTATGACAGTATAAAAATACTTGTTTATATAAAAAATTAAAAACAGTACCTATTCATAGTAAAATGACCCACAATACATTTTATCTGTTATTCAAGCTATACAATTGCGTTTAAAATATTTACATTTCAGCATTGAATAACCCATAGAGGTGTTGATATGCTGCTAAACAAAAGCAACGAATCAATCAATCGATAATTCCTCCTTATTTTTGTCTGTTTTTCTTTCTTGTTTATTATTATTTATTCTCTCTTTATGTTTTCTTCCTTTTTTATTCTTTGAAATGAACATTAAATTCTCCATTATTCTATTTCATAAGGAATTTAGCAATGTTTTTTGCTAAGAATCTTTTTTTAATCTCTTATCGGTTTCTTGGTTATTCTGACGTTTTAAATGTTTAGTATCTCATCATTATTTTATTCCAAGAAATGTCATCATTTCACAATTGGCACTTTGGTTCACACGATGCTGCATTTCAATATGTTATCTTTCTTTGAACATTCTGTAATATGTTTTTATTGATGTATTTTCTGAAATGTGAATATCAAAATGAAACAAATATAACAATTAATATATCTGGAAAATATATTAACATATTAATATATGGACGGAAAGTGTGACACCGAAATACGAAGCCACATTGGGATAGTGAAAGATGCCTTCCAAAAGCTAAGCAAAGTATTCAGAAAGAGAAAAATTTTCTTAGTAACAAATAAAAGAGCACTAACGTAATATCAATCTCCCTATATAACATTGAATGCTGGACAATCTCCTTACAGATAAAGAAGAGACTTGAAGCAACAGCAATGTAGTTCTACAGAAAGATGATGAGAATACCTTGGACTGAACACGTGAATAACTGGAAACAAAAAAAAGGTACTTATATTTAACATCAAAAAGAGGCACTTGAAATATCCAGGGCACATAATGAGGAAAGAAGGCTTGGAAAATTTGATATTCACAGTCAGATCGAAGGCTAGTGGAACAGTGTAAAAGAACGCATAGTTGTTCTAACGAGCTTATGTAAATGGATGGTAGAATAGGCTTTAGGAGAGATAACAAAAAATAAAATTTACAAAGGAGAGGAAATTGTGGAGAGCCATGGCGCATAGAAGAAGAATACGTTTTTATTCATGGGTATTTTGCATAGTTTTTGAAAATGGAAATGTGGTTTGGCTTTTGTGTATTTTGTTAATTAAGGATTTGCATTAAATGCTTAATTTTCATCGTTTGTTGTAAAAAAAACTTCATTAGTTAATGATCTCAGCATTTGCAATGACGATTTACTCTCGATCTCTGACACCAATACGATGTACATTTCTAGCAGATGAATTATACAAGGCATCATGTCGAATAGGAATATTTTAAAGGTGGAATCTATCAGGAAGTTTGTCTTTACGGAGTTTTAGTTCCCAGTTTGCAGATTTCTCACTGAAACTGATCATGAATGGTAGGGTTTATCCGAATGTAAATTCAATTTCTTTTGCTCATCCCAGTTGTAAAATATTTGAAGCGAAACATATTTTAGACAGTATTAATTAATATTAGAAAGACAAGTAGGAAGCTAAGAAAAAGAATGAAACACGTGTCAATAGAAGACAGTCTCCCTAAAAAAACTCAACTAAAAAGAATTAAGATAAGACCGAAAATATGAAACGTAGATAAAAGTGGAATAAACAAAATGGAAATAAAATAAACTGTATCTTCAAGACATTTAAAGACAAATATACTTTTAATTAAAAACAGCAAAGTTTAAAAGAAAAATAGGTTTATAGAATCAAGTATTCAGCCATTAATTCTTGAGAATTAAGTGTAAATTAGTGTCGTATAATGATAGCTCGGCTAAATTATCTTTCAAATAATAATTATTATGTTATCTAAGCAAATTTAATTTCGGACCGGCATTAATAACTTCATTTAATTAACTCGTATACACGTCAAGTGTAAGAAAGTAAAATCTTACAATCTCTTCTATTTATAAAAGTAAGTCTCTGTTTTAATTTATAAAATATCTAATGAACAGTTTCATAGATCTTTCAGAAAATAAGACACTGTTAATGTTCAGCTGTTAATGTCGACAGCGAAACAAGGGTTTGACGAAAATGTAGATTGACAAAGTGAGTGTGTACGGCGAAAGGCGCAACTTATCGATTTAGAAAAACATAATCAAATAAGTGCAAAAGTTGGTGACAACCTCGGAGAGTATGCTGTGTTCGCAGACGCTGAAAAATAACCTGACCCGAATGAAAAAATTATGAATGTGCATTACCTTGTTAGTAGGGCTCAGAATTTTCCGAATACATCATTTGCAGAGTTTAAAGACCCGTTTCCACCAAAGTAGGGTCACTGTTTAAGTGGAGACTTGTAGACTCGAGTATAAACCCAACCAACGTCTACTTTTTGACTCTAATCCAAACCGGACTTATGTCTACCTAATCATTCATTAGGATTAAGACATATTCCGTGGTGGCACCTTAAATTTCCAGGAATCAGCTCTATAAAGGCAGGTTATCTTTAGAAACCTATTCTGCTTATTTTCTTTTCAATGTGAGAATAGAAGCAAATCACTTCATAGTATCAAAAAGAATTAAATCAGTTTCATAATTTGATAGAAAACGTTTAATTATTAAGATATTTTCAGATTCAAATTCTGTTCTCATTATATTTGTATTCAAAATCATGACGCTTTTTGACTCTAGTATCCTCAGCTATGTTATGGTTTCTTAGTCCATTTCGAACTAAATGGATTCAGTCTCAATGGAAGAAATATCAAATTTATGACTAGAAGATTTGACACATTTTTAACTTCAAAATGGTAAGGGGGGGCGTTTGTCTATTAGAATTTCACCCGGTGCGCGTTCGAACGTAGCGTAAATAACAACTTTTCCTAGGCATCGGCTATTAATATATAAAATTATTTTTGGATAATCCAACAACAAATTCGCTAAGCTTTTATAATTTTAAGAATCGGTTCCCGCGAAATGGTTGGGTGCTACCATAGCTTATAATGAATATTGAATAAGCCAATAAAGTCTGATATGTTGTTAAATTAATTCACCTCAACGTAAATTGCGTCTAGATGCGATTTTGATCGTTTTCTTGGGTCTGTTTTTATGTCTACGTGATGTTTGCATGTTCTCAACATATTCTGTTCAACAGATATTTATTGAGACGGGCAGTCTACTTCATTTGTTTTTAAAGTGTAGGTCGTGAGAATTTGAAAACTGATTACTTAACTGGTTGTTTGAATGCAGTCACGTTTTTACCTAAATTTAAAGTAAAACATATGATGAAGAGAAGAGTTGTCTCATTTCTTATTTAGTATAATCCCATTTAAAGTTCATAACCATTTGATCCTATCTCCAGACACAAATCTGGTTTGATTATCTCAACACTTAGTGCTCATAAGCCAATTTTACATTTTTCTTCTAAAACCTCCATTTATAAAAGTGCAAAATTTGTCAATCCTGCCATGGTTTCCAGTAGGTTTTAAAACTTAGAAGTAAAATCTTCTTGAGGTCCTCACCGATCAGATCTTGAGTCACGATGAAACTTTTGCACTCTCAATGAGATTTTGCGCTTTGAACATCAGTTGGATCTCAAGAGGACTTGTGTAAAAGTGTAAAACTTCAAGTGGAACTCATACAGACGATAGATTGCTAAAGATGCTGGAAAAATGGTCGGCACATTCTATCGTTCTACGAAGTACCTGACTCCTTCTGACATGATTTTTCTTTACAGAAGGCAAATCAAACCTAAAAGAAGCATTGCTGCCATATCTCGACAGGAGTTACTCAATCCAAGTTTTTATAAATAATTATTATGCACTCTGCAGTCCGTTTCCCACAGACGCAAGGTCGCAAGTATATCGTTAGTCTGTCGTTATTTTCATTAAAAATGTTCAAATGAACTCAATTTTTTACTTCCATCAGTTCAGACCTTTACAAGCAAGATCAGCCATGCTACTGACAGGGAGTCAAATAAAACTTATTTCCTCCATATTTCTAATGCAATGAGAAATTTCCACACAGAAAACTTTTTCAAAAAATTTGCTACTTTGTGGAACTGACTCCCTCAGGGATGCTTTCCTGAACTCTACAATATTAACCTCTTAAATTCGCTCTCTATCCTCTTTATTTGCAATATGTACACTTCTTGTTACCTTCTTTCTCATTTATATCATACATCTCATTCATCATAACCATTTTAATAGTAACACTCTATCTTTGAGGAGTCTCCTCTTTTATACTGAACCCTTTCGGCAGGGGACATAAACTTATTCCTTGTAATCTCTGTCATAGAATCATATAATTGTGTATTTCATGATTGTTGCCTTGCAACCTACAAGAAAATATTCCGACAATGCATATTTTGCAGATTGCATATTATCAACTTAAGTTATCCATCCATTTGTAGTCACTGATTTCCATAAGGTTCACATCTTGCTTAGGTGAACATCATTCATAATTTATACTTTGTTTTCTTTTTGCGAATTCTTTGCTGATATATCCAAGTGTAATTTTACCAGCCAATGTCCTGAC